CTCTCTCTCTCTCTCTCTCTCTATCTCTATCTCTCTACTCTCTATCTCTATCTCTCTCTCTCTCTCTCTATCTCTATCTCTATCTCTATCTCTCTATCTCTATCTCTATCTCTCTCTATATCTCTATCTCTATCTCTCTATCTCTATCTCTATCTCTATCTCTATCTCTATCTCTCTCTATATCTCTATCTCTATCTCTCTATCTCTATCTCTCTCGATCTCTCTATCTCTATCTCTATATCTCTATCTCTATCTCTATCTCTTATCTTTCAGGAGCAGCGTGACCAGCAACCGACAGTGAGCGGCGAACCGCAGGTCAAGGACACCTTCTGGAACGACCTTGAGGCGGGCAAAATCAACGTCTTCGAGAGCGACCTCTACACAAAGGTCAAAGGTCGCTGCAAGAAGCCGGCCTCCTACAACGAGGACTCGATATTCAGCACGATCTTCAGCTCGCCGGAGAAGCAGAGGGAGAGGAAGGGGTCGGACGAGGTCGAAGGTCAGGGGAAGAGGAAGGGGTCAAGGTCGGACGAGGTCGAAGGTCAGGGGAAGAAAAAGAGGTCGGATGAGGTCGAAGGTCAGGGGAAGAGTAAAAGGTCGAGGTCGGACGAGGTCGAAGGTCAGGGGAAGAAGAAGGGGTCGAGGTCGGACGAGGTCGAAGGTCAGGGGAAGAGTAAGGGGTCAAGGTCGGACGAGGTCGAAGGTCGCAAGAAGCAGCAGAAGCAGCGACGGCGGAGTCACGAAGAGACGGAGGCGGCGGCGGCTGCTGCTGCGAGTAACGACCTCACGTGCGGTAAGTGCGGACGCGCCACGTCGACTACGATCAAACCTGTGTAGAAGGGTCAAACCTGTGCATAAAGGTCGCTCAAGGGTTATTCCTTAGTGGTGGCCTCTATGGACAGGTGTCGATTCTCTGGCACTTGTTTTCGTTGCTTCTACAGAGCTTCAACGTTGTTCTTTCTTTTGTTTTTCTTTCTTTCTTTGTTCTGTTTTTTTTTTTTTGTAGTTTGAAGTCTGATTTCTCCAGACTTCTACGAGCGGGTTTCTACTTTCATGGCAAGAGATGCGTTGAAAACGTGAAGCGTCAGCATATTAAGCGTGTATGAGTTATACCGATTATTAACTTTAATTCCTAATAAACTATTTAGAAAGTTAGTTATTCCGGCTTTTAGTTCGCTTCTATTCGATTCTGATGTTAAAAATTCCATGGCACATTTTTATTTCTAGTTAACTAATTATTATACTTAATTTCCTAATCGATTTTTTAGAAATTAAATGATATCAACTATCGCTGACATTCTCCGCCCCCTTCGCTAGGTCGCTTCGCTAAAGTACCGCGACGTTTCGTTCCTCCAGGTGGCGCCGGCGACAAGTCGAAGTACGCTCGCGCAGTACAGCGTGAGCCAGCCAGGCGAGCTTGTCCCCTTGAGATTGTCCTTGACCTCCGACGACCCCTGCAGCGACGCCAGCAGCCCGCGCGGCGGCGCCACCAGTCCCCGCGTCACGACGCCCGACGTCGCCGTGGCGACCCCGGACGCGACCTCCCCGCGACCCCGCGACGCGTGCGACGTCTCGCCAGGGGGCGCCGGGGCGACGTATCTCGGCTGGACTCCCGTGCCGAGTCCGAGTCCGACGGGTAACAGTCCTGAATGCGACGACGTCTTCACGCTAGATGGGCGCCGGTGGGAGAGCGCGCCGCACGCGATAGATGGCGCCACTGGCTCGATATCGCGCGACGGCGACCGTAAGGACGAGACAGAGGGCGCCACGTCGCGCGAGGACGATCTTCGCGCAAAACACAAGAGTAGGTCAAGTGAAAAGCGAGGCCGCAGGCAAAAGTCGCGCAGCAAAAAACACAAGAGCAGCTCTGAGTTGGGGCGCGAGGGTGCGTCGACGGCCAAGGACAATTCCGTAGATGTGTCGCGAGATAAACACAAGCACGTCTCTGCGCGGAAGGACAAGAGCGCTGACGTCGCGATGCACGTCCACAAACACAAGGCCATCTCTCAACGTCCAGAAAAACACAAAGGCATCTCTAAACACAAAGACAAACGCAAGGACGTCGCTGCGCACGACGAGAAACACAAGTGCATCTCTGCGCGCGCAGACGAACAGAAGAGCAGCTCTCCCATCGGCGAAACTCGCTGCCACGTACCGTCGACTGACGCCGGCGCCACCTGTGATAGCAACGTGTCGGCGGTCGGTCGCCATGACGACGACGACAGTGGCATTTCGCTGTCGCAGACGCCCCGCGCGTTCGACGCCCCGGACACTCCGATCTCCACTGCCTCCTCATCCTCCACGGCATCCCTCTCTAGTCACAACGTGGCGCGCGGCGCCCCCTACGACGTCGTCTGCGCCGCGGGGTCGGTGGCGCCACCTCCGGGCGACGCGCCGAAGCGCGGCGCGCCGAAACCCTTGTCGGACGACGCTGGCACGGTGGCGCCTCCTGTTGGCATGCGCGACGCGGGAAGTCGCGACGGCGCTTCGTCCGTGCGTTCGGACGAGAGAGTGAGGGACAGGGAGCGAGCGAGGGAGAGATCCGGAGGAGGAGGAGGAGGAGAAGGAGGAGGGAGAAAAGAGACTCAGCTCTCTAGTCTGCTGGATAAAGCTGCAGGTGAGGCGACCAACGCGAGAGCGGGAAGGAAGCCGCGGGAGATGCGCGAGAAGGAAGCCGCGGGAGATGCGCGAGAAGGAAGCCGCGGGAGATGCGCGAGAAGGAAGCCGCGGGAGACGCGCGAGAAGGAAGCCGCGGGAGATGCGCGAGAAGGAAGGGGACGTAAACAAAAGGGTTATCGTCGCAAAACTGACTCGAATGTACAACATAGTAAAATATAGTAATACGGTTAGACCTCGATTATCTGAACGAGACGGGCGCGGAGTATTTTGTTCGGATAACTGATTGCTCTGATAACTGATGGTCTAGTGGCTTATTAAATATTCACGGGACCTTGAGATCTTGTTCGGATTATCCGAAATTCGGATAACCGAGGTTTGACTGTACTACGAATACTATAATAGTACTGGAAATATAAAAATATTGTTTTTTTATGCGGTTGCACTTAACGATTGAACAACATCTTCGTTGTTCATCATTAATGTGATAATTCTAACGAACCAATTGGAGAAGCGATTTAACACTATTCTAACGAAAATAACCTGTTATCGTCGGAGAATTACTCGTGATTATCATTGATTGATGGTCGAGCTCGTTAAAGAGGTTCTGACATGCATTTATCCATGCGTTTCAAGGAAGCAGGGTTATCATTAGGGTTAGTGTTAAGGTTAGGATTAAGGTTATCGTTAGGGTTAGAGTTAGGGTTAGAGTTAGTGTTAGTGTTAAGGTTAGGGTTAGTGTTAAGGTTAGGGTTAGTGTTAAGGTTAGGGTTAGAGTTAAGGTTAGGGTTAGTGTTAAGGTTAGGGTTAGTGTTAGTGTTAGGGTTAAGGTTATTGTTAGGGTTAGTGTTAAGGTTAGGGTTCATACAGATATGATAGTGACATGCCTTCATCCATGCGTTTCTCTTTCGCGCGCGCGTGCAGGCACGGGGAAGGAGGCAGGGTTCGAGCTGGATCTCGAGACAGAGGAGGCGAATCGCACGTGGACGGAACAAGTGAACGGCAGCGACACGGACGACGAGGCCGACCGACGGATCGGAAGCGGTGAGTCACGCCGCGGTAACCACGACGACCGACGGCTTATTGCTCCGCGTTGCCACGACGACGCGTGCAGTCGGACCATGTTGGGGCATTTCCGTCACTTGCGTGCGTGCGTGCGTGCGTGCGTGCGTGCGTGCGTGCGTGCGTGCCTGCGTGCCTGCGTGCCTGCAATGAACTTGGGCCATAATATGAATATTGTTTGTTTGCCCTCACCCGACCGACCCGCCAAAAAGGGGCCGACTCAAAATTTTTTATTGATCTTTCCCATTCTTTTTTTTTTAAACAAATTGTACCACTGTACATAAATCTGTAGGCAATACATTATATGTACCAAGCAAACCAAACATTCAACATAAAAGGTATCTCCACACAAGCGCACCCGAGCATGTAGACACCATGCTAAAGTCATTACGATATAGAGTGACGCCGCAGAGCAGGCTACCCCCGAGCATGTAGACAACCATGCTGAATTTGTAAAAAGACTCCCCCGAAAAAAAAGCCTACTTACTTACCCAAACTTTTCAGCCTGGGTCGGGTGAGGGCAAACAAATATTTTTTTAATTGTGGCCTTATTAGTTATACATGCATATTGTATATGTAATTTATACCATTTTCTTCCATGTAATTTTCACGTTTTTTACACGCAATTTTTACATGTAATTTTTACATGTATTTGACATGTAATTTATTCATGTATTTTACATGTAATTTATTCATGTATTTTACTTGTAATTTATACATGCGTGTTATTTAATGCGTTTCAGGAGAGTTTCGTCAGGCTGTGAAGGACGGCGACTACCGGACGGTGCGTCGCGCGGCGAGGTACAGCGAGCTTGAGCTGGCGGGGAGCGACGCGTCCGGCATGTCCCTCCTCATGGTCACCGCCATCTCAGGTGAGTGTCGCTAGCGCACCCTGCAGGGAAAAAATTAAAATTAATTTTTCGGGGGCTACTTTTTAAAATGAAAATAGCACTCTAATATTTGGTTTGCATTGAACGGGGGGCTCTTTTTGGCATTTCCGGGGCTCTTTTTGGCATTTCCGGGGCTCTTTTTGGCATTTCGGGGGCTAAATCGCCCCGAGCCTCCGTGTATTTTTTTCACTGGCCCCCTGTACTAGTGCCACATGTGCCAGTGACCCATGTGCTAGCGCCCCCTGTTGGTGTGTCGGTTAATTGTTTCTTGCACTTGTTGGCGTGTCGTGTTGTGTCGTTGCGTCATGTGATGCATTCACTCCCCTCTCCTGACTCTCTCTCTCTCTCTCTCTCTCTCTCTCTCTTTCTCTCTCTCTCTCTCTCACTCTCT